TCATTTGATAACTATTAGTTATTCCTGCTGACAAAAGGAGCTGAATCTTACCCAGCAATCTCTGAAATACAGCTTGAAAATAAAATGAAATATAAAAGGGGGGAAAAATGCGGATTTAATTTTAAATGGAACATCGTTGTATGTAATACATACCTAATAATATTTAAAAACATGATATAATAAAGATAAAAACTATTTTGGGTACAATATTTTTTTCTTGTATAATTTATCAGTGTTAGTTTGGGGAGACGTGCTCTTGACACTAGTGTAACCCAGGATGCTTGCTGGGATTTCATTTCGTCAGTGTGCTTACTTTGATAATGTATCCTACGCCCTGAATTTGGGTTAACCAACATCTAAAGAGGTATGGTATCCCAAGCTGATGTTGGGAATGTACAACCTATTAATCTTTCAATAGCCTTAGAAGGTCAGTAAGGCTGGGGTGAGGCATGGGTTACACCAAAGCAAAGATTAATGTGAGCAGGCAGGCCGCTCTCTGCCATTCTTCTTGTCTGGAAGGAGATGCAATACCTTTTCTCTCTCTCTCTCTCTTTTTTTAAATAAGCAGGCTAGCCCTGTCTGGATCCCCCCAGAACGACAGCTCCAGGAATGCAGAAACTATAATGTGCTGCATCTACCACAGAGCCCACCACATAGTAGGTGCTGAATAAACATTTGTCGACAGAATGAATATATATATATGTCTGTCCTGCGGCAGGCCAATGGCCATGACATGACCTCACTGACTTGGAGATCTTTAGTCCAGAGCAATCCAAAAGCTTTTGTGGTGAGCTTTCGGATCGGGCAGAACAAGGGTCGGCAGAGCACAGTCCCGGGGGAGCAGCCCGGGCCTGTGGGGCGGCACAGGGTGGCCATGGGTTGTCAGTGACCTCGTGGGCCCTAAACGCAATGTCGGTAGTTGAGTGCTTACAGGCCTCTTTAATTAAAGGTTATTTGACAACTTGAGAAGGAAAGCCAAAATATGTCCTCTAGGGTCTATTTCTAGGGCCCTCCGGGGTGCTAAAGTCAAAAGAAAAGTGACAATAATCCAGAAAGAAACCTGTGTGCTCTTTGCATCGGCCCCTGGACACAGGTCAGGCCGGTGAGACTCGCTGCGAAGGCCGCAGCAGGGGTAAGCGCCGCGCTCAGCCGTTGCGTTTGCCACGCCGCACAGTCCGGGCCCGGCCGCCCACGGGAGAGGCTGGCGCTCACCTCCGTGGGCCTGAGTGACCCAGGCTGATTTCTTGGATCCCAAAAATACACGTTTCCAAAGGGGGAAACAGAAAAGTGTTTGAAGGTGAGTGGAAAGATAGGTTGGAAACTATTAGCTGACAAACTATTATAGGAACAAAGAAAAGCGAGGGAGGGCCGAGAGAAAATGATCCAAACAGACGAAGGTAACACGGACAAGAGACAGGGCAGAAACCTACCACAGCCCATTGGAGCTTTTACACTTTTTCCGGTAACCTTCTCATTCCCCTGCTAACAAGAACCTGCTTTAGACAGCTCTGGTCCAGAGGTCACTAGGAGGCAAAGACTCACGCAGGTCAAACTTCTAAACAGCGACTCCCACAAACGGAAAAGCCGCACGGAGAGGAGGAGGGCCGACTCTTCTTCTTGGAAAAGAGATGATTTTATTACAGGAGCTGCCAACCGGTATGAGTGTCCATATGTCACCAGGAGCGACGCAGGTGCTTTATATTCATTTTCACTAGCTCTGATGATGAGAATTATCATGCGTCTAACAGATGACAAAACTAGGAGGCTAAGTAACTTGCTCAAGGTCACAAAGGAAGGAAGAGGCAAAGCTGAAATTCTAACCTAATCTCTAACTCTTAAGTTTGAGTTTTTTCCCACAGCACTGCCTGTAACATATATCTGTTCAGTGATAGAAGAGTGACAGTATTAGATTTCTCTTCAGGGAACAATTTTCCAAGACTGTATTTTCCATTTAGCTGTGCCTGAATTATTGATCTGTTTATAATTTCCATCCCTTACCATAAAGATCTATGTCCAACTTGGGGAATAAGAAGCCTATTGGAATGATGGTTTTCTTCATGACAACTGTATCATCTATAAATTAAAATAAACATAACTTCATAATGGGCTGGCCAGGTGTTGCTAAGTATTATAATATCGCATTCAACATCTGTGAGAATCTTGACAAAGACTACAAATGATATGCCAGGCAAGCTGCTGTTTCTAAATTAATGTCCTGAAAAAAGATTTCAAACCTCTCAGGATCCTGCACTGAAAGTACGTACAAACACACACCACGGAGAGAGCAGGAGAGGAGACTAAGTAGCTGGAATGTGTGTAAAGCAACAGGAAGCAGAATCAGGGAGTAGTCTCTTCAGGGGTGAAATTCTCCCAGTATCAGGTCACATGAAATTTTACAATTTCGAAGTAGCCTCAGTAAAATCCTACAGAATATGTCTCTATTTATCCAGTTAGAGAGGATCGAGGCATGAGTTTTTCCTTCTTAAAATTAATAACTAACACAGGGTAAGGGATCACAGACAGCCTCCCCTGGCAGAGCAGTTACCTCAATAACATGCTGTTTCTCTAGTTAAGATGAATAATCCCTTTTGCTGTCTTTTTGACAAAATTATTCATGTGTTATTGGCATGGTACCAGGGAAAAAGAGGAGCTGAACGAGCTTTCGGTAATTTGTTTCAATTTTATAATCAAATAGCAATTATATTACAATCCCATAAACTATCGACCTTTCCCCTCATCCTCCACTGTGACTCAACATTTTGAACAACAGAACCAAAAAATGCACAAAGCCTCAGGAAAGAAGGAAGAGAGACAAGGTGAGACAGAGAGCTTGAAAGCTGGAAGGACTGAGGTAGGAGAAAAACTGTGACAGGCTTCTCAACCCCGTGGGGGGAAGGCCCCCAAACGTTCCTTTCTGGTTCCTCTCACCCGGACTCAGCTTAGGCTGGCATCATGTCACGCAGGCAGGTTTTACAAAACCACCGCCTGGGCCCTCCCTCCTAGATATTCTGATTCTTGAGTAAAGCCAGGCATCCGTGCGCCTTCGAAATTCCCCAAGGGGTTCTAACGTGCACTGGCCTAAATAATTCAGGGGCATGAATAAATGTAAAGTATGTTGGCAAGGCTTTAACATAGTTTCACCTCACCAGAATAAAAAAAAAATCCGAAAATCTCAAAACACCAGAACACGAGCCTATCACTAACAATAAAGAAAAACAATAAAGAATAACAAAACAAAAACCTCTTCCAAGACCTGGGAAAGGAAAGGAGGTAGACGAGCTTTGTGTGGGTCTTTCCCCCTCCCGTGGGAAAGCGCCATTTATCAGCTGAATGTCCTGTGCTAACCATTAAACTGGATGCCCGGCGCATAACAGGAGCATGAAGTCAAACATTAATCCCCCACTTTACCAAAGAGGAAACCGAGCCTCAGAGACGTGAAGGCCAAAGAACAAAGACAGAACTTGATCCCAGCTCTGTCTCGAGTGCAAAGCTTTTTCTCCTCTCTGTATGTTCCGGAACATTCCTTTGCATGGCTAACTTAACAGATACTGGACCAGAGTATAATTTCAGGGACATTTTCCACTGCGGGACCTTCAAGGATTCGTGCTAAAGCACTTAATCCAGAGCTCTCCTGGCTCTCAGCAATCTGACGTTAGCCGTGAAGAGGTAAAGAGAAGAAATACAAAATAAAGTTGGAGGGGCTGATAGGCGATTGATGGTAAAGGACCTTGAATGCCAGGGACAGAGTCTGGAATGAATGACTGTACTAATTAACTCACAGCTCTATAGGTACTGAGTCATGCCCTGTATTGGGAAGAGAAATTCCTCTAAAGCCTACACAACAGGGAGACATTGGAGGTTCTAGAGTTACTCTAAGTGGTATCCCAATATGCCAAACCAGAAAACTAACCACCAGGAAAGGAAAACATATCAGAACACTCGCTTGAGCGGTATGATTAGGAAAAAACCAACAACCCAGAAACATTATGGACAAATCTGTGTAACACACATTTACCATTCTCAAAAAATAAACTCTGAAAAGAGATTAGGGTTATTTTTAAGCCGAATCTTTTTTATGGTATTTTTAAATTATAGCGTTAGTAGAGTTTTCCCACAGGATGAATTCAGTAGCTAATAAAATACAACCCTCCTACTCAGGGCAGCTGGGCAGCCTGACATCCCAGGAGTTGTTTACTAGCATATGTCACAGTTAACAATAACAACTTAACAGATTATTAGATTCCCTCGAGGTAGAAAGCAGATCCTCAAATATAAATGAACAAATTAAAATATCAGAAAAGAGAAAAGGAAACCATTTCAGTCTCCATAAATATGTGGCAAAAATTATATATTTAGATTAAATACACAAATTAATAAGAAAAATATAAAGCTAAATAAAAAAGGAAAGACTAGGTTATTTTTATTTATCCAACAGGATAATTTCATACCTTTCATGTTTTTATAAAACAAAGTGCTTTTTCTCCACCTTAAAGGGAGAGTGAACACTAAGATAATTTAAAATGTTGCGTATCAATGTATGCCCTTTCCTTTACTCTCCATATATCTAAATGCGGGCATTTCCAATGCTTTAAAAAATTTGGCATTCGGAATATCAGCAGGAATGTATTTGACATGACATTAAATTAAGTAAATCAACTCAATATAATATTTTTAGTTGCATTTATTATACAAATATTTAATTATCCTGATTTTTTCCCATCATATAGATCTTTTAGCCATACTTTTTTAATCCTATGTGAGCTTGTGTGTTCACATGTCTGTGATGGCATGTGGCAATACATTGATAATTAATGTTCATTTTACTCTGGTTTAGTCTCACGATTTCTTCATTTTTTTGGTTATGATCAGAGTTAGCCCAAATAAAGATTAAAAGTCTCTATGAGATATTGCCCTTGATTTCTTTTTAAAACCTTTCAAAGATTTTATCAAGTTTGTTCTTGAAAAGGGTTAGAACAATGAAATGACGGCTCATTACATACCATGATCTGTGATTTTACAGGACACCAAGTACAGCTCTTTCAGGTTCTGTCCTTCCTTTGCAATGACCTCCACACACCTGAAACACACAAAAAGTGGCGAGTTACGCTAATGCGTTTCAAGTTAAATCAGAAGACTTTGGCCAGGATGAGAACAGGAAGAGGTCAGCGTTTGATGAATGCCCCCAGTTCTCTTCTTTCAACAAACCTCTTTCAAGGTGTTTCAGGAAAAGGTATTATATTCCCTGCTTTAAACTCAAGTGCTCTAATACCTAAATGACTTTAATTAAATACATTTATGACTAGTGCATCTTTTAAAACCAAAATGATGAAAAGAGGGATATTCCTATAATAATGTTATATTTGATAATAAAAGACTAGTAAACATATACTACATAATGGACATGTCACTTATCTAATAAAATAATATAAAAATGATTATAATGAAACTGTAGACGATATAAATGGATGATCATTATAAGTGGATGATAATATTGATTATGGTTCAATTATTAATATGGGGCTTGATAACACTGAAATACAATGTTTTGTGAAATTCTATTTAACATAAAATAAAAATGTGTTCTTAAAATCTATAACATTGATTAAATAAAAATCTCCACACATAAGAACTTTAAAAAATTTTAATTTAAAATGGTTTATCCTTAACATTTTAAATGAACTATTGCATAGGTACAGGCCATTTAAATAATACTGATATAGGTATGTGAGATTTACAGTCTTTTCTGGTTTAAGTAAAATGGTCTTCGAGGGCTGCATGTGCTCTAATAGTCTTAGTGGAACATGTAGTACAGAACTGAAAGAGCTTTAAACATAATTATTAACAACACTGTCCATTCTGCGGCTCAGCTCCCTGTAATATCAGAAAAACCTGAACAGTCACAGTGACACATAGGCACATGCAGCCTTCAGTGCAGCCCCTGTTTTAATCTTTATAAATAACAGTTAAGTAAAAGGGTAAAAGCAAAAAGCGTCATTAACCTTTTCTAGGAAGGATCAAGTAATTTGATACCTATGTGTATAATCCATCAAAAAATTACTGAGCAGCCATCTCTGTCTTTCAGAGATATTTTATTTGCTGTCTGGCTTATTTGTAGGTATCTTCACAAAATGTCAGGAAATTTTATAAATTTTACCTCCCATAATTCATTATTGAAGGTTAAATTAGTTATAGGAAAGGCATATTTTTCTTTAAAATATATTTTCATAAGGTATTATCTTAATGGAATGATAAACATTTCAAAGTTCCTCAGAATAACTGAATAAACATTCTTTTGTGGTTATTTATGATAAAAATTGGTACAGACTTCCATGGCTAGAAAAGAAAACTTAAAACACTGACAGAATGTAATTATGACTGATAGAGTTTATGATGAAGAGAAATTTAAAAACCTAATTCCATGTCATTTGGCTTTAAAGTAACATTTGAATAAACTCAGAAAAAAAGGGCAGATAAAGGCAAAAATGAAACATTACAGGCAGCAACCACGGTTTACATACAACTTTAAAAACTGATTTTCATTTGCTAAGGATAAAAATGAAGGCCCTAGACGATTACAAAATCTTTAATAGTTAAAACAAAAAGCTGCCTACTTTCTAGCGTGTTAAAGATACACACCTCGCCATCCTCCACCACCAACCAAGAATGTTAGCAGAACCCGTATTTTGTACGACCACCGCAAAGTGAAATAAATCAGTGCAGAAGCAATCTTCATGGCATTTATTTTGTTCTCGTGCACTTTTCAAATAGTTCAAAATGCCTGATTTTATATTTTATTTGGAAAAACTCTAAACAAATGCAATACCCTATTTATGTTTCTGCCACTTGATTCTATATTAGGTATGCTACAAGCACATATGAACACTAAAGGCACACGGAGCAGACTACAAACAGCAAATAAGACAAATGGATTTCACTGCACAAGCCAGGTCAAATGTAATTTCATAGGCAACAGGAACCACTGTTCAAATGAAACAAGATAATCACTGGATGGAAACTGTCCTAAAACTGATGAAAGGCCATGAGCATCAGGTTTCCTCCCTACACAACAAGGGAAGGTTACTATGAATAGATCCTGTAAATATATGGAGCTTACTCAAGAGGCAATAACTGAGAGATAACACAGGGTTAGAAGTAAGCAGTAAGTACCTTTTAGACAAAAAAAGAAGAAGAAATATATAAGATTCTTCGCTTTTACAAAGGATCACCTCGGGTTTTTGCTCACTTTTTGAAAGTTCAGTTACATAGTTTTCCAAATGTGTTTAATCACAGTATGCTAGAAGCTACTATGTACAACACAGAACTACTCTTCAAATAAGAATTCATGAAGAAGAAAACTATTTCTTGGAAGAATTGTAGCAAAAGTTAATGTTTTGAATTTAAATAGTATCGCATCATTTAATGATGTGATATTTGAGGAGAGAAACCCCAAGTTCTGTGAATCTGGATTGAGACTCATAATAGTAAAACACAAAATTGAGTGGTTCAAATTAACAGTTAAAATAGCTATTGTCTTGAGAGTGGAAAATGGAACGGCTGTGTATAGTTCTGTCACTACAGATTGGTGGAAACGGAACCTCACTTCAGGTCCCCGGCCAGCGCCTGAAGCTCTGCTCTCAGTCTAGGTCTAGCGTCCAGGCAACCTGGGCGGACAGAGGTCATGATGACAGACCACGGGTGGGGACTGCCCTTTTCTCCTAAACTTTCACAGAGTCCATTCTAAAAATACTTACAGAGGTACCCTAACACAACACAAGTCTGTGCACCACATTTACTCTAAATAATTCTACTCTGTTTTAAAAAAGACTCTTGGATCTAGTCGTGACTTTTAGTGTATTAACATCAGACACTTACCAGTTCACCATACATGTTGTACACAAGCAACAAACAAGGTGGTAAATCTTAGTAATTATTTAAACTAATGCTTCATGATCATTTAAGCTTACAATTATTTAAACTACAGGTGTTTGTGTAAGTTGTTAAATGGGTATTTTTAACACGGTAGCAATAAAAGAGAGACATGTTTGCAAAGTGATAATCTGTAAGTAGGAAGGAGGGTCACAGAACCAAGACCACATTAAGAACCTCTGCTTCTCCATGCCCTCTCCTGTTCACAGATATCACATAGGAGAATGTTCATTAGTCTCTCTGACAAAATATAGTTTTGTCCCGGAGGGGCAGGCAATGAGTCCCTAAACTCATAATCCAGAATTCAAACATTCCCATTCTTACCCCCACACCCTCTCTCCACCATCCCTAAGAACAAACCTCAGAATACTATATGACCGGTGTTCTCCATCGGCCATTTCATGCACGACAACCTAAGGGATTATAAAATTTGGGAAAAGACTTATATCCTCAGTGAGAGTAACAATCTGTAAGATTATTAAAGAGAATTCATAATATAGAAAAATGGAATCGGGGGAAAGTAGCCCATGAATATCGAACACAAGCCCACTAAGCCATCTTCCTGAGTTCTGAGAAAAAAAGGGAGATGGCTTAACGAGAGGAAACAAAGACTCAGAAGACATGCATTCTAGTCTCACCTCCATGGAGCCACAGGACCACACCAACCTTCCTTGGAGCCCCACATTAGCATTCTCTATAAAATGAGGGCCTATATGAAAAATTTCTCCAGATCAAATATCCTAGGTCCATTTAAATATACTTTAGCTTATTCTGAACTGTCTCCCTCAGATTATTTTCTTGCTTTTATGTTTTGGCAGGTTTGTGAATAGAATTAAAAAAAAAATTGCAGCCATTGTAAATTCTTGAGTAACAGCTGTTGAATACGCATATATAAACTCCTTTAGAATACCGAAATGGGCCAGAAAACCTGCTCCAAAGTACCCAAAGCAGCCAGAATTATCTTTTATAATAATGTAATTTTATGCTCACTTGCTTTTTGACAATGTCCTAAAATGTACCTGAAATATTTGATGAAATTTGAAAAGCAACAAAAAGGGTTTCTTTTGTGAGCTATATAGGGTGTTTTTTAAAGATGAGAAAGTATTTCTTAGTTTCAGGGAAGGGAAAATCTGTCTCCTTAGCAATAGATTCCTAATCACCTGATTTATGTGAAGGGTAAAGGTTAATGAATTAAGCTGTGTAAGCTGCAAAACTATCAAAGGAATTCAAAAGAGCCTTGAATTATGGAAAACAATGTCCCATTCTACATACATACCAAATTTTATGTTTTTTGTCTCCTACTCAAAAGCAGGAACATGGCATTAGTGACAATTGAAAAGAACTAATGAGGAAATATGACCACATTGCTTGCAAGAAGAGTGTCCTAGGAGACCTTGTTACTGTTTGTGATGTGCTTCAAACCCAGAAGAAGCTAATTGGAGCTGCCAGACACTGGTTTGCAAATCTCACTTTAAAGGACAGGCTCAATCACCTTAGAGGTGTGAAAAGAAATGTCCCCATTAGGGATGCATTAGTATGTGGCTTGGTGAATTTCTAAATAAACTTTAAGATGTTCTTCCCCTAAAGTCACTTTATATTCGAATAATTGATTTATCTTCAAGCAAAGGGAAAAAAAAATGCAACAAGACAAAACAACCCCACCAATTTAAAACAAAAAGTATAAAGAACGCTGTAAAGTAATTGGCAAATGAGCGCGACGGGGAGTGAGGTATGTTTAAGGTTGAGTAAACATGTAGATCAAACCTTGAAACTCCTGAAACACATCCACATTGTAAAAGTCATCTACTTGGGGGGATTTAGAAACAGAGATTCATTTTCATCATTTCTTGAAACTGAACAAGCCTACAAGCCACCCCAAGTTACAGAGATTGTAAGTGGGTAAAAGCATACGGAGTTGTAACACACACACACACACACACACACACACACACACAGTATAAAGGGATTTACAAGACCTAAAGAGAGCAACAGGCGAGCAAACTCCATCCAATTCAGTGCTGTGTAAGCTTGTCCTGACTAACCCCTAAACGATAACAGGGGTCACCAAAACAAAATTCGGCATCTTATCAAAAAAATAATGATATCTGATTGATTTTTCTAAACTCTCAAATCAAGTGTGACTGAAGAATA